CTATTTATTTTAATGTCATACAACATTGCAGGCGGAATGTGTTTGGGATCCACTGAACCATAATAAAGTTTAAAAAAAATTATTTTGGCAGGAGTTCAAGACGACTTTCTGACATGCTACGACGTGTTAGAGAGAATTGACAACTTTTGGGCATTCGTTCCAAATGGATAGGCAAAGAAGTTTTTGAACAACTTCTTAAGTATTGAGAATCGGATGAATTTAAGGCTAAATCTGAAATTGCAAAGATGATGAGGGCATCGGAAAAAGGGATTGCTTTAATGCTGTTGGAAGTATCAGTACTGATGAGCATGCTCGACGCATGATAATTATTACCATTTTTTAAAGTCATATTCGGATTTATAACATATATTATTAATTTAAGTTAATTTTTTTATTTAGGCTAAGCATTTGGGGAGACAACCATTGATGACTGAGCTGGTTACCGAAACTCGGACAAAGAAATCGGGGGAATTTATTGACGAGCGTACAAAAAAAAGCCCTGGTAAGTTAATTTATATTTATATTTTTTTATTTTTTAAGCAATTTTGTGACGTGATTTTCACGTGGCAAGTGAGATGTTATGGCGTGAAAATTGAGTGCCAACTAATAAGTTGTGGCGTTACAATCACGTGGCTATATGTTTTTTATTTATTTTTATTTAATTTAATTTCATTAACTTTACTTATATATTTAACTTGATTTTTTTATTGTATGTGTAGGAGGATTATCAGGCCTTGCTTGTAGAATTTCTGACCCATAATCCTCAGTATACTCCTCCTCCGGAAAAACCAGTTCATCCATATGTGAATTTCTATATTTGGAGTCAAGTTATTGGGGAAAAGGGGTCTAACTGGTGCTTTTTTGGTGGTGGAAATTTGGCGGACACCTTGAGGAGTGAGGATAAAACTCTGTATCAGAGAGCTGCGGACGGTGAAGGAGGGTCACGTCAAACAAATTTGACACTAGATCAGTTAGAAACGGTAAGACAATTGGCTAGACGCGAGTCCGAAGAACGTGAGGCCGCATTGAAGACCCAAATGGAGGCGGCATTGAAGGCCCAAATGGAGGCAATGAGGGGGCGAACATAATAGAGAAATGGAGACAGTGGCGAAGAGGCAGGCTGATACGGAGGAGCAAATGCGATAAATTTATGCAAGCATTTGGTGGAAATCTCAACAATGGTGGCCAAAATAATAACCACCAAAATAATGATGACTTTCTTCGCGACTTTTCCGACGACTCGATGATCCTTCTGCTTAGTTTTATTTTTATTTTCTATTTAGTTTTTTATTTGTGTACTAATATAAATTTATAATCATATTTTATATTTAAAAATATTAAATTTAAATTTTAGTTTATTAATTTTATTATATTAAGTTAATTAATTTATATATTTTGATATATTTAGGTTTATTTTTGATAATTTGATTTATAATAATAAATTTAATAAATAAATTATAATATTTAATTTATAAATTTAATGAAACGGAAAATAATATTAATTATTATATCAGAATTATTATATTTAAAACAGAAAATAATTTATATAAAAAAAAAAAGTTGCGACGTGTTTTCCACGTCATAAATTAGTGACATGAAAAACACGCCGCAACATACAACGTAAAAGTGAATATAAAACCTGCTCTGACCTCTGCTCTGCTGTGATTGCCTT